GATGGTGAGATCAGAGATGGCTGCCAAAACACAAAAGCCAGCTTTTGGAGCTTCAGTGTGGTTTTAATACATGATCATGTGTGAGGAGACATGGCTGGTGCTTCTTTGCTTGGGAGCTCATTTGCCCTCCTGCCTGCAGTTGTTAGCAGCCATGTAGCATCCTGACATTTCATCTTTATTAACTTCTTGACAGATAGCCTTTGGGGGTTTATTGGGAGATTAATTGTTTTCAGGAAGCTTTTAGACTGTTAGCAAGGTTTTATCTTTTTTTTCCCCATCCCTCTGAGCAGGTCACTCTAAAAAAACTACTTTGAGATGTATTAAAATGCCAGGAGCATCACTCTTCTCACTGTCCCCCAGCTTCTCTACTCTTTGAAGCCCAGAACTGAGAGCAGCAAGGAGGGGACCCAGATTTGAAGAGGGCACCAGCTGCAGCCATCGTTGGAGCCACTTTAGTAAGATCTTCCCCGTGGCATTTTTCCAGGAGGAAAAAAGAGCACACAAGCTTGGCTATTTTTTTCTATAGTCAATGCATGTGATTAGTGGTATTTATAAAAACTGTGCAGAAAACAGCATCTCAGGAAAAGGAAAAGTACAGGCAGATGCACTGAACGAAAGGAGAAATTAACAGACTTCGAAGTCAGCAAAAGTGGCTGATTAAGAATTTAAACACCAGAATTTTGCAATTTGGCCGTTCTATGGGTTTCTTAAGCATGATTCAGTGATGGCTTTTAAGGCCTACTGGAAGCTATTCTGTAAATGACTGCATGTGTAGTACCATCTGAAGATACTAGTAACATTGTCATTGTTTTCAGGGTGGGAAGAAGGAGACTTCACCAGCAAAAATGTTAAAACAAAATAAGGGGGATGAACTCATAGTAACCCACTTGAACCTTCCCTTTTCCCCCTTTAAAACTTTGTGATTTCAGTGTTTTCCTTGCATTGCTTATGATTCTCTATCACTGGTTTGTTAATTTTTTTTATGTCTTTCCCCAAAGCAGAAGATAGACATTTAAAAGAACACTTCCCCATTCCTATTTACTATAAAACCAGTAGCAAATTGCTCATTTCATAAGTAATTCAAGCCCAGCGATTTTGCATTAGCATAGGAATTTAAATCTCCCTTGTGCTTCACTGCAGAACTAGATTTGCCCAGAACACTGAATGGGACTTGGAGCTTTTTACTATTAATCTGTGAGGTCAAACACAGGTTGGCAGAATCCAAAGCGCTGTGATGGTCTCTTTGTTCAGCAGCCTCTAATATGTTTTGGAAACTGCCCAGACTATAACGATGAGGGTACATACACAATACTTTTCACCTGATGGCGTATAGGTAGTTTATTTGTTCCGTCTCTGCGGACAGCCAGAGATGTGCAAGAGGCAGTTTTCCCTCAATTTGTAGAGGCAGTCCTCTCAATTTAGCTGTGTTTATTTGAGACTATAAAGGGAGTCCTTGGTAGCGTCCCCACTGTATCCATAATGTGATTGGAGTGCTCAGCACTACCAATCCTGCATCCAATCCTGCATCCACTGGAGATAATGAACACTGTAAATGAGGGGCAGTGTCTTTCGGTATATGTACATGTATGTGGTGCCTAGCAGAGGGGGGCATAGTAGGATGAGATTCCTCATTATCTCTGATCAGAGACACACATAAAAATAATTCCACTTAGGAAGGAGGATGACACTAAACAACATCCAAACACCAGGGCATGAAAAGGTGCCACTTTCTATCCAGTATTTTATGCATTTTTAAAATACACACATGGAATTAATATGTCTAAATATTCATTGCTTAAGGTGCCTTTCTTTAATATTAAAAACAGTGTGTATAAATTCCTCATTTTGCCTGAAAGCTTTCATTAGCACTCCATCTGTAATCCATACCTCCTGCTAACAAGGACAGAACCGCAATACTCGTTAGGACCCTCCCTTTAGAGGAAGCCGAGTGAAAGAGCCCTAGACTTTTATGGTGCAGTAGAAAGTGAAGATGTTACCAGATGAACAATTCTTTCCAGCAGTGCTTTGGCTAGTCTCACTATGTAATTGGAGATTTATTGTAAGCCATCAAACCCCATTATTTCCCATCCAGGAGTCTTTGATTTTCAGGCCCTCACTCATCTGAAGACATACTTGCTGAGGAGAGGTGTAGAGTCAGCAGGAAAGATGGACAACATGAATAATTAAAATGGAGGTTGAGTTTCCATTTGCAACTGAAGAGAAATAGTTTGCACAAAAATAAAATGAGACAGGGTGTCAGAGATGCTCCAGAAGGGTGGCTGTTTTGTCTGTTGGCATTTCTGCTCTCTGGAGGGATTTGTCATGACAGGGATATTTAAATATTGGGTTTAGAATGGCAACCTATCATAATATTATTTGGAAATACTCTTCTGCATATAATGCTGGAGGTATGTGTTTGGAAAAGGTAGAAACTGCTAACAAGCAGCAGTTAATTAATGAATGGGGATCTGCAGTGGGTGCACATGTGAATTACTCAGTGGACATAATATTGTCTCGGTAACAAAGACAAGAACTCAGAAATGAGAAAATTGAAAAATTAATGTTAGCTTTTATTTTTATGGTAGTTGTACCATTAAAGAGTATCAAGCACCATGTTTTCACAGCTTTCTTCTATATTTAGTGTTAAGGATGGACAGTGGTCATCTGTTCAGTACTTTATTTTCTTCCACTGTTCAATCTTTTTTACTTATTTCTTGCACATTAAGTAAATCCTTTTTTGAAGAGGGGATTATTAATTCCTTATGACACTAACCACCCCAGCATCATCATATTTTACAGACATTATTAAATTTATTTTTATAAACCACTCAGAGCTAAGGGACTTATTATCACCCCCGTTTGAGAGATACAGTCTTGAGGCATGGAGATTACAAAAATCTTATTTTGAGTGCTTAAACTGAGAGAGATTTCAGAGAATTTGACTTCTCAGAGTGGAGAGAATTATAAAACACACAAAGCATGACCACTGTAACTTTATTTGCAATAAGGGCTCAGCACACCTATAAATTGGATCACTGGTGTTGGTCTGCAACAAATGAGGAACTAAATTTACTGGACAACTGTGAAGTGTTAGGTTGCAAAAAACTTCATTAATATAATATATGACTATATCACTGCCAAGAACAGAATGCAGTTCTCCAAATCAACGTTCTTCTGCCTTAACTATTTGATCTTGTCACTTTCTGTAACCTTCACTTGGTACCTTGACACCTTTCAATGTCTGAAACATGTAAATCAAGTGTTCTTCAGGCAGCTCACCTTCACAGAAAATAAACCCAGTATATCTGCAAGTCATACAGTGACTCTAACATATTGAACGAGACAGGAATCCTGGGTTAAATAAAGAAGAGTATGTGGTTATGCAATTAAAGTCTGTCTCCTAATGCATTGGTAAAAGAGGACTGAATAAAGAGCAAATAAGCAGCATCAGCTCTGGTTTGTCCTAACTTTTTGATTGCTCTCATATAATAATAATATCCCTTTCTTGTACGTTATACACACTGTACATGTTTCTAACAGAAGGGGAAGAAATTTTATCACCAGTTACCACCCTGACATGCCATCAGCAAGGTGATAACCTCCAGCCTCACTCCACAGACCCTGCTGCTCCCAGTGAGGGAATGGCTGATCTCAGCAGCTCTCTGTAGAGGCTTGGGCGAGACGGGTGCATGGAGCTACCCTAGAGGGAAGCAGGGGTATTGGGTGCTCTGTACAGCAGATTGGTAGATTGTGGTTTGCCAGTCTAGATAAAAAGCTTGTTAATCTTCAGTGTATGTATATTCTTCCACCCACTGAATGTTGTGCTTCACCCTATAAATGACTGGCGATATCACTTAAGGGTCAAAATGCTAAGAACCAAACCGCAGGGCAGGAACCATGAAGTGTTCTGACGGTGTGAGCTCCAACATTCCACAATATTCCCACATGGCAATCTAAATCGGGGCAAGCCCAGCCAACTAGACCAGGATGGGTGCGATGCTCAGCAGAAACCTGCAGCCCACACCTCTTTCACTTTGAAAGGGACTGGCCACTACCAGAGGGCCAAGATAAGGTGAAAATGATTGTAAAACGTCTGTATCTCTGTTTTTGAACAAATAGCTCATAATTAGCCTCTAAAATGCATTCAGATTTCGTCACTAATGCCATCGTTCTGGTTATGCATCATTCACGGGTGAAGAGCAGCTCACCTCGGGGTTGTGGCGGGAGGCTGGGGCAGCACAACCCTTCCCTTCTCGCTTGTTTCCTCAGCCAGCGACTGCGTGCTGGTATAAGGGACGTTGTGTCATGTAATGTCATCCCATCCCATCCCACCCCACCCCAATCCCGCTCCCCGCCCAGCGCGGCA